TTTTTTTTTTTTTGGAGAATTGAAATTTCAAAACGCCCGCCTTTAGTGAAATCCGAAACCGACCTGCAGATGCTCACGACACGGCGGCCACGCTATGTACCAACCATAACCCGCTCTAACCAAGGGAGGGTTGGGTTACCAACTCTATGTACCCCAACTATGACCAGGGGAGGGTCACCTGAGAACGACGCACAGGCAGACGGGAAACAGACGGCTCGATGTAACGATTCGAACCAAGAGTTAAGAGTACGATGAAGAACGCAGAGGGAGACACGAGACAGAAGAGGAACAGCGGGGCAGAAGGGAGAGAGTACAGAGCAGAGCGGCCAGACACGCCGGCCTAATAGGATGTCGTCGATGAGTAGCAGACGTAAGAAGCAACCAGCAAAAGACGGCGCTTTCGTTGGACAAAAAAGCGAACGGACGGACGGACGGACGATTAGAGCATCATCATATACGCACACGTCGAGTACAATCGCAAATGAATCTGACCGTAAGAAGGGCCGCAGTTGGATGTATCTGACCGCAATTATGTGCATAACTGAGTAAAAACGCCCTTCTGTGAGTGTGCCCTTATTCTATAGTGTACGCCATGAAAAACTGCACAGGGTGTCAGGGACAACAACCGTTCCAAAAACCGCTATGTGTGCTTTACCAACATCGGGATCGGGGTAAGGACTTTCTACAACTTGAAGCTGCGATTTTCTCTCTCTGATGTATCTCTTCCTAGGGATTCGAATCCTTGAGGGCAAGCAAACTGAGCAAGTGCCGGCGAGCGTCGGCCGCATTTATTTGTGTTAATCGAATCCGTGATTTGGGTAATCACGCTCAGATACAAGAACAATGATCGCTCATCATAGACGCCGCACCTTCGCTGGAACGATCGATGGCCAAATCGGCGGAAGAATCGGCGAAAGAATCGGCAGAAGAATCGGCGGAAGAATCGGCGGAAGAATCGGAGGAAGAATCGGAGGAAGAATCGGAGGAAGGATCGGGAGAAGAGTCGGCCGATCGGCGGAAGAATCGGTGAAACAACAGGGGGTCCAATTTGTCGATCTTCGGTCACTTTGAGGAAAGTCTTGTGGCATCGAGAGGCGGTATGACGAAAAGATCACAACCCCGCAAAATCCGGGGTGAGAACACCAATTTTGTGAAAACCAATGCAGCTTCAAACTGATAATAAGCGCTCTTTCCCAGGAAGATGCGCATCCACGTTCATCCACATCATGCCATCAATCTCTGAGTCACACCACCACAAGCATATCGCGCGCAGTGCAGTCGAAGAAGACATACAGCCACCCACCTTCGTCCGGTTTTCTCTCCCCCCCCACCCCCCACGCCTTCCCTTACACAGCTCTCTCTCTCTCTCTCTCTCTCTCTCTCTCTCTCTCTCTCTCTCTCTCTCTCTCTCTCTC